GAGTTACTTTCATTTTTACTTCTACTTTTCATTTAAAATAAGTTTCCATTCTCTGCAGGTTTCTAAGGTTCTTCTTCTACATATTAAGAAAGTTGTTAAACATCTGAGTGGTGCACTACTGCTACTAGTGGTGAGAAAGTGTATTGCTCCTTATTCAAAATTAATGCAGTTCCGCGGCCCTCTGCGGCCCAAAGTTTAAAACTGTTTTTCTTTTGAGGCCCTCAAGGTGGCGCTCGGTCGCGGCCCACAGATTAAGAATCTCTGCAATAAATCATTTCAAAGAGTTATTGTTCATCTTTTACCAGGCTAACATTCTGACTGCTATAAACCCTCCCACAAAAAGAAAATAAAACGTTGACGAAACATTCTCCAGGAGTGGTAATTATATATTTACAGGAGAATTATGGCCACTCAGAACCAAACAAAGTAGAGGAAAAACTTTTTTTTTTTCATTTTTGGTTCACGGTTTAAACAGTTGGAATGTGGAGATTAAAGTCCAAACTGACAAGCTAAAACTAAAAACAGAAAGAGGATTTAATATTTTCTCACATCCTGAACCAACACGTCTAAACTGGACTAATACTTTCTGTTTCAGGGGTTTTCCTGCAGTCGAGGCTTGTTTTGTCGTGTAAGCACAGCCTGGTTTTAGTAAAAACAGCAGACAAACCCATGGCTGTGTGCAGCTGCAGGCTGAAGTGCTGATTGGTCTTTTATTTGTTTTCACACACAAACAATGTGATTAAAGGTCTGATTATCACAGCTTCTTGTTTCTTCACATGATTCTTCTGTAAATCACTCAGATTTCAATGAAATCCACTTCAAAATATAAACACCTGAACTCATGAGTCCAGAGAAATGTACAGATGTTTACTGAAACTGTAGTTTTATATTCGTCAGACGTTTGTCGATCCCTCCTTCCTGTTTGCAGCCGTTGTGCAGCAGTCAGAACCTGTAGTTGGGCTGATGTGTGCATGAAATGGTTTCCTGCAGCTGTAATAAAGTCTGCACTGATCTGACTTCTTGCTCCTCTTTGGGCAGATATCTCCACATCTGTGTCCATGCCTGATGACAAGTGGTTATCCACTCTGGAGAGCAGCCACTGGCTGGACTACGTCAGGTAAACTGTCTGATCGTAGGAGGCGACTCTCTGCTGCCACACCTCATTTTACTAGAGCCCCATGTTCGTGCGTTCACGTTACAACTCTTGTGTGCGTCTGCAGGTCGTGTCTGAGGAAAGCTTCGGAGGTGGCCTGTTTGCTTCGCAGCGGTCACCTGACCGTGGCTCTGCAAGGTGGGTCACGTGAGGCCGGACCCTGGCTCATATTATTCATTTATTATTCGCACGGCCTGCCTGTCATTAATGCTGCTGAAGGAGCCGTTTACTGCCCTCCACTGAGCCTTCACACAGAAAGCTTCACTGCTGCTGCTCCACATGACACACAAACCCCTGCATGTCTGGTTTTACACATTAAAGCTTCAATAAAACGTGCTTCAGATCTGCCTGGAAGTCAAAAGTTTCACCCATGAAGCTAGATTTGATATGCAGCGGGTAAAATACGTATTGAACACGTCACCATTTTTCTCAGTAAATATATTACTAGAGGTGCTAATGACATGAAATTTCCACCAGTTGTCTGTAACAACCCAAATG